GGTAGGCGGAGGCGGAGGCGGAGGTGGAGCGATCGAGTGAACGGGAGAGGAAGCGCAAGGTGCATCGTGAACCATCTCACGCGCCATTTACTCTCGATTCTCGCGTCGAAATCAACCGAGATTCATCGTCGAGATCCTTCTCCAACTCTATAATCGTAACAGTGTAACAAGCGCGGCAATCGCGCATAAAACTTTTCCAAGGAGAGAGAGAAGAAGATCGATAGATCTGAAAGGACAAGAGGAATCGATCGATGGGAATATGTTCGTAAGGGACGGAAAGAAACGTTGGAAGAAGGGAACGGAACTGTGTGAGAGAAGCTAAAGGTTCGGATGCGGTGAAAAAAGTGTGATTACTCTTCTTCGACGTGTGAAAACGAGTTCCTGACTCACGCGACGCCGTCACCGTCGGCAAGATTCTGTCTCCCAGGTACCGGGCGAGTCCTGGGGTGGCGACAGAGGCACCTGCAGGTGCCCGTAGCCCGAAGGAACCACCGACGTGTACAGTGATGACGGTCCATCATCATCAGAATCACCACGTGGCGGCACGTAGCGGCGTCACAGTGGCCAATAACGGTCTGAACCTGAGCAGGATGTCCGGCCTGGAGGCCCATCGATTGGAGAACATCGTGGAGAGGAACGGAGTCAGCGTGGAACGTCTGTCGAATGGGCTCGACGCCAGGAACAACAATCACAACGGTAACAACGGATTAGAACGTGGCGACGCCTCTACAACGATGCCGCAAAGATCTAGGTTCATGATCACCGATATCCTCGGTGGTGCGTCGAGTAAGATGCATCAAGCTGCCGGCCTACAAACACAAGAACCACCCGGGAGTCCACCGTCAACGCCAAGGGATCTCAGTGTCAGGCATCAATCGAGAACATCCTTGAGCATTAGCAACCTCGACGAGGATAGCGACGCGAGTCATCACGATGGTGCTTCCGTTACTTCTAATGGTAAGCGGTCAATTATGTCTACCTTATCTCGGTCTCGTCGGTTCTAGTAAATATTTCCGCGAACCAACGACGATTAAGTCGTTATTATAACATACACACCGCACACCAGGGAAATAGGCGTGTGGTTTAGTCGAACGAGATTTCAGATTCGTCGCGTTATACGGGCTTTAATCGTCGTTCGTCGACGTTGGCTAATTGGTCGAGTTTGGGTAGGAGGGATGCGTGGAAGGTTAGGGGGGGGGGGGAGAGAGAGAGGAGGCGCGAAATTAATTTCGCCACTCGGTTTGTTCACCTGGTCGGCTCGCGTGGACTTTCACGAAGGTGTCAAGGACATTTATGGGGCGGACTCGGTCCCGACCGGATGTTCCACACGGTGAGAGATAGTGTCGGCCCGTCGGTGGTTGCTCGCCGAGCACAAGACTTGTGTGCTTCGTTGGAATCAGATATTTCCCGGGAGATAAAAGGCCTTCTTCCACCTTAGAAAGAGAGAGACCTTTCTTAATCTTTCGGGCCTGCCTTCTGTGCCCCGACATCGTTTAGGGGTTTTAATGGTCTCAAATTGGGCCT